AGATGACTTTGGTAGCTGTCTCGTAATTTCTCCTTTTGCTGGAAATTTCCACTAATTGAATAATTTTAATGCGAGTTTGAGATCTCAAATTATGATGTATGGCAATACCCAAAATAAGTCGTATTTTAATGTCCTAGCTTTCAATAAATACAATATTTGGCTCTGAAATTCTTAAACGATTATCCCTGTTCATAAAAGGTCATAAAAAGGTCACAAGGATGTTTTGGCTAATAGCTAGAGAAAACAGTGTGTGTGTGTGTTTGTGTTTGTGTGTGGCGACTGTTGAATAGGAATTTAATATTATTCACCCCGGATATGCTTTATGAATGATATAGTTGATATGTTACTGTTTCCTGTAATTTGATATGCACAGATGAGTGGATTACACATACATGTACATAAGTTATTATATGTTGTTTAGTCTATGAAGTTATATGCTAGTTTTGTTTTGAAAAATCTTTGGTGGTGTTTGATTTCATTGAATATTTGACATAAATATCATATATGAAGTATACAAATATAAAGAGAGGATTTGACTTGGAGCTATTTTTATTTTAAAGTTGTTCTAATTCAAAATAAATAATAATATAATGGAAACAGATTCTACTATAATACTATGTCCAACAAATTCTTCAATGTTGGGGGAAATTTTGAAATTTTTTAATGCTGGTTCATAATTTTTGTGATATTGATAATTTAACAGTGATCGTAAGTACATATTTTCATGTTTCTATGGCAACTGAGCAGTGTTGTACAATGATAATAAAAAAATTATGTATGCAATTTTAATCTTACATATACATACATGTTTAAAATGAAATACCATGGTTACCGTAACACACTGTGAGATATTTATGTAAAATGTTGTAGTTTTCTTGTGAAGATAATATAATAGAATTTAATAATTATTAGCGGGGTTATATTTTCATTTATTTCCCTAAATGCTCTAAATATTCAGTGAATATTCAAATAAGTCAACAGAATGTCTTTACAATGTTATCTTTACGAACCAGTGAATTTAAATCAAATGCTCACTTTGTCTGCAGGGCCTGTCCTTCTTTGTTTTATAATACTTAGTACGTCTATTAAATTTTCGGTAAGTTCTTGTAATTGTGACCAACTGTATGAAACTCTGAATATTTCCCAGAAATTGTTGACATCAATGATAGCAATTCAAGCCCAGAAACGTTGAGTACTTATCACCAAGCATTACGTTATTTGTTTATCGTAAATATTCATGAAGTCGCTCTATTCAGACAAACAAGAAATTTCTCTCTCTGCTGGATGACGCTGAATGCTGGAATAATTTTGCAAGGGCGTTTCTGGCTTAGTAAACTTCCTTAGAATTTTACAACAAATCAGTAAAAAGAATTGAGGTACATTTAGTACAGTTAGGGTTGAAAAGATTGTTATCGTCTGTGCACATTGTCTACATTTCAACTGTCTCATTGTTCTATGGTTATGTCAGTTCTATTTATAGTAAATCAACCGAAATGTGAACAAACCTTTTGCAGTGTTTGAGCTTGCCTGGATGCCCTAATAAACCCTTTATACTGTAGTATTGTTAGTGTTTTCATGATTCCAGTGAATTTGTATACCAGTATTGCCTAGGAATATGTGTTCACACTCATAGATGAATCGGTAATACCGGTAATTGTGAACAAGTTTCCAAACTTTTTTTTTTCTGCTATGCTTTACACAAATCTCTGTGCTAATTTTGCTGTTATTTCTTTGTTTAATTTCGGTCTCACTTTCCAGTGGCTCTTGATCACAATTTTTGAGGAGAAAAATCATGCAAGTTTATTTTCTAAAAACCATGATTTCAGCATTGAAAAAAAATGTTCACAGAAAATGTTATTGTAAAATAAGTGGGAACTGAATTCAAATATTACTCTAGTGTTTCTATTTATTCAAAGCTATACTCTTCGTCTTGAAAAATATCTTCTTGTTTTTCTTTTCAAAAGGTTGTACATCCTGGTACTTATTTGTTAATAAACTTCAGATGTAAACGACTGCTGAGATCTCATTGGCAGATAATGAAAAACTATTTTAGTCACAAAAATATATTTTCTTATATGTTGGAGGACATTTACAACTAAGCTTTATTAAAGGACGATGGTTGTCGTGCTGCGTCATGTTCGATGCGGAGCTCATAGCGTCGTATACAGAATGCGTAAAATACATTATTAACATGAAATTGGCCCATCGCTGCGTGACAACTACTGCCCAGCCTTCTCGCCCAAATTTGACAGTACTTTTTAGCTCCGCTGTCGACTTTGTCGAGCGGAGCTTATCATATGAGTGATTGTCCGTCGTCGTCGTCCGTGTCAATGTTTTACTTTTTCGACTTCTTCTTGAAAACTACAAGCCTGAATGCTTTGATACTTGGTGTATATGTACCTTGGGTAGACCTCTCTTAGGTTTGTTCATTTCATGTTGATATCTTCAATTCTCTAATTTTGGTGAATATTTTTGTCATTTTTGGTATAAAGTGATATTTTCGACTTCTTGTTAAAAACCGCATGTCCAATTGCTTTGATACTACATATATAGGTACTACATGTAGACCTCTCTCAGATTTGTTCATTTCGTGATGATATCTTCAATTCTCTATTTTTGGTGAATATTTTTGTCATTTTTTGTAAAAAGTGATATTTTCGACTTCTTGTTAAAAACCGCAAGTCCGATTGCTTTGATATTACATATATAGGTACTACATGTGGACCTCTCTCAGATTTGTTCATTTTGTGATGATATCTTCAATTCTCTAATTTTGGTGAATATTTTTGTAATTTTTGGTAAAAAGTGATATTTTCGACTTCTTGTTAAAAACTGTAAGTCCGATTGCTTTGATACTATTCATATTGTTCATTTTCTAATGATGTCTTCAGTTCTTTAATTGAAATGTGCATTTCTAACAGCGGAGCTATATCAGCCGATAGGCTGCTTGTTTCTTATATTCTTCAATATTTCTGGGTACAAATGTATGAACCCTAATTTTGAAGCCAACAGACAAAATTTGAGTCAATTTTCAGCTTTTACTCCATTTGGCTCTTTTTGTCCCAATCTTCTAAAGGAAAGTACAGACTGTAAATGAGACTATTTTGTGAATTTGTGATGAAAAGAGGAAACTGGTCGTGAAAAGGTTAAAGTTAAAAACAGTTCAGCACAGCAAAAATATAGAAGTCATGTGGGAAATTATTGCTGTAGGACAATACCCCCCCCCCCCCCCCTACAAGAGATGGCGTGCGACCTTTAGGGGGTAATGCATAAGCGCTGTTATGTACATGAAGTAAATATTTTCCTGCGACACCACCATGTTGTGATTTTCACATTCCATACTTGTATTTTCTATAGGTTGTGTGGCTGCTATATCCATATGGAGTTCAAATCCAACCACATCTCAAAATTCAGTTTACACAATTGGTTGCTATGTGACTGGTAGACATAGAGACTCTGAAATCGTGATTGGAAGATACTTGGATACAGGAACTGGACGAGTAGATGAAGCCTATCATGTGGATCAAAGTACTACAAGACAGGAAAGCATCTCAGATTATGGATTTCCACCCGGATCTGTGCTAGACGTCATAAACAATGAAGAAAACAATTTTAAATTATATAATATTTCTATCAGTAATGGTACGGATAAATTTGGTGCTTATTATTGTGGAGTAAATGGTGTGGATGAAGCGAAGGTAGTCACTGTTGTTAATGCAGTAAAAACTGAAGGTAGGAATATATTTAAAAATATTGTGTTCTAATAATACTAGTATCTTATTTTTTTATGCCAGGCGACAGTTTTTGTCATTGAATTTCACTGTTTTTTTGTTCAAATTGCAAGTGCAATATACTACATTTTCACAGAAACCAAATTCATGTTTGGGACTACATGACAGGGCTGTGTGACTATTTCTAGTTTGTTTCTTGCTGTGATGTAATGTTGTAAATGTTACAGTCACTGTATGACCTCAAGTGAAATGCTCCTTTGTGGTTTAGCTGCAGATACATGTACATGTACATAATTTCACGATGACTCATTTTAATGATGCACAGTACGATATTATCTTACTGATTCTGTAATTGCTCTATTCAGGGTTCTCCCCAGCAGACAGAGAGTGCTGGACGGTATGAATATTCATGCATATGCATGAATAATTAATATTCAAAATGACCACAGGGAATGAGTAATTTTTTTCAACAATCGATTGTCACAGGGCCTCTTACGTCGCCAACTCGTTCAGTTGAGTTTCACGCCTATTTTTTTTTTAATTGGTGACACAACCAAAGCTTTGATTATCCACCCTTTTAAACATTCTTTTGTCATCCAGCGTGTTCGTTGCGTCGTGGACAAAAACAATAGTGCCAGACGGAAGCCATATGTGCCGGTCGCTAATTCTGAGTGCCAGACGGCACCGTCCAGCGTGGGGAGAATCCTGGCTCTATTACAAAACCACATCTCAAACAGAAACGCATATGAGCTGCAAATTGTTTTGTTTTGGTTGGATTTACCGGTAACCCTTATTCTGCCAGCTCCATGTACTGCGAAATACTTTATTTTAGCTGGAATTAGTTTGCTCTTGAGGTAGCGAGAAGGGAAATTTTCACTTTTTTCTTGATTTTTCAAAAATTGATAAAACGGTTACTTTAGACCTTGATACATCACCCCAGGTTTACAAAAGATCGAAATTGCGAAATAACGTTGCTCAAATTAGTGTTTTAAAACACTAGCAGAAAAGACTACAACTGCCGTTTCGTGGATATTTGCATAGTGTTTATCTTTGGAAGGAATTAAATGATAAAATCTTATCTGTATACTCTGTTGTTGACGATTCTGATATAACGGGTGATAAGCTTCCAGTTGCAAACAATGCGTGTTTATCTAACGTCCATTGTCAGCATTATTGTCAGTCGAGACTTCGTCGGAGAAACATGGTCATACAGTACT